TGGCTGACACTGTTCCAGGCACTTTATTACATAAACTCATTTGAAAATTCTAATAATGCTATAGAAAACCCACGTCCATCAAGTTGATGCCAACTCATAGTGACTCTATATAGGGTTTCTGAGACTGTAAATCTTTACGGGAGTAGACAGTCTCATCTGGCTCCCTCCGAACATCTTGTGGAGCATCAGTCCAATGCCACAGTGCAACCAAGACTCCTTAATAATTCCATATGGAAGGTAATAGTATTACACATAGGGTAAAGGAAGCACAGGGATGTTAACTAAGTCTTCCAAGATCACCCACGTTCACTAAAATAAAACAATAATGCTAAAGTCAATCTATGGGCAAGTTACATCTTAAATTAGTAATAACTGACCATTCTACTACTTTCCTTAATTATCTTGAAAATTCCCGTATCTTTTCCTACACTATTCCTCCATACCCCACTCCAATCCATTTCAATTCCTAAGATAATATGTGCCCTATAAAGCTTTTTGTCTTTATTAGGTCTTTTCCATTGCATCACTAGGAGGACACAGGAAGGTGTAGGCCACACCAGTTAACACTGTCCAAGGAGGTGATCTATAAGGCTTTTGTGCTTTCAATCATGTGGCTTTGCCTGCACATGCTACACACATGCTGTTGTTTTTGTTGCTGACAGTGTTTCTATAGTCACTGATTTTGCCATATTATCTGGTGTTTTAGCTGCAATACGTGATAATTAGCATTGGTGAATCTATGTCACCAATACTAATTTGTGAATGAAGTAGTAATTAAAGGAAAAGGACAAAATTCAAGAAAAGTGTCCACTCAAATTATTGATATAGTTATAATTCAATGTAGAAAGATTTTACAAAACAATTTTGTTGTTAGTGTCACATAAGCTGGTGCTGCCGGTGAAGGTGCTAGAATCCAAAATCGGTTTGAACCACAAGGTCAGAGGTTCAAGTCAACAGCTGCTCCTCTGAGAACCTTTGCAGGGTTGCTATGAGTCAGAATCAACTCAAAGGCACTTAACAACAACAAATCATATAATCTGGTATGGCACTGTAGGATAAGCACTCAACCTCCAGGTTGGTTTGAACCACAAGGTTGGAGGTTCAAACTCACTAGCCATTCCTTGGAGACCCTAGACAGGGTCCCTATGAATCAGAACTGATTTGATGGCACTTAACAACAGCAATTTACCTGTGCAGAATAGATTTGTTTTTTTCTTAAGCCCCATTTCCTGTACTCAGAATTATGTACTTGTTAGAAATATTTTGTTTATATAACAGATACATACATAGCACTATATGTTAAACAATAAACAATGTCTTAAGTATGTATATACAAAAATCAACTCATTTAATCTTGGTATCAACTTTCTGTTCATTGTTGTTAGTTGCTGTCAAGTCAACTCTGACTCATTGTAATCTTACATATAACAAAACATTTCCCACCCAGTCCTATGTCATCTTCTCAGTAGTTGATATGTTTGAGTCTACTATTGCAGTTATGTCAACCTTATGAAAAAACTAATGTGTCAACCTTGTGAGAAAGGTGTTACATTACCTCCATTCTCTGTGAGAAAACCAAAACAGAAAGAGATCAAATCACATGCCCAACAGAGAGAATTTGAGCCCAGGTGGGCTGACTTCAGATCTGTGCTGTTATAATGCTCTCCTATTAGCAAAGCAGGAGCTCTGGTAGCATAGTTGGGCTGCTAACCTCAAGGTCAGCAGTTCAAAACTACCAGTCATTCCATTGGAGAAAGATGAGAATTTCTGCTCACATAAAGATTTACAGCCTCAGAAACCCTATGCAGGGTCGCTATGAGTCGGAACATACTCTACCGCACACCACCACCACAAGCACTCCTAGCCAGGAATCCTGGTGTAGCAGTGTAGGATAAGCACTGGACTCCTAAATGCAAGGTTGGTGGTTCAAACCCACAAACCACTCCTTGGGAACACTATGCAGGGTCGCTATGAGTTGAAACTGATTCAACAGCACTTGAACAATAGCATCTATTAGCAAATATTAGTATATTAAGAAGTTGAGCTTTGAATGTATAATGAGTTACAGTTAAACAGATTTATAGGAATACAGACATGTTCTCATTTAGTACACACTCTAGGAAAATATTTTCTTGAACAATCTGCTTAGAAATGATTGCCATTCACAAAACTGTCACTTACATTTTTTAGGTTTGTACCTGGTGCTTTTCATTCATTCTATATTTATAGACTAGAAAAGAAAACATGGGTTCTGAAACAAACATACAAGTTGTGTAACTAAGTAAATTAACTTCTCTGTTCTTTGATTTCTCCAATTATAAAATGAAGATGATGGTGCTTACCTCAGAATTGTATAAAGATAAAATACAAGGGGGCTTCAGAAAGTTTGTGGAAGAAATCCATTGATTTTCATCCCATTTTCCACAATTTTTTTTAAGCCTTTTGTATATGTAAAGCATTTGAAACAGTGCCTGGTATACAATAACAGTTAACTATGTAATTGTTAAGGAACTCTGGTAGTGTAGTTGTTACGAATCGGGCTGCAATCCTCAAGGTCAGCAGTTCAAAATTACCAGCTGTTCCACTGGAGAAAGATGAGGTTTTCTGCTTCCGTACAGCCTCAGAAACCCTGTACAGGGTAGCTATGAGTCAGAACCAACTCCACGGCACAACAACATATCATTGTTTACTGTTTTTTCCTATTTTGTAGAAAGAAATCTAAGTATTCATACATATACAAAGAAATGCAAAAGTAAGTACCATAGCCACTTCATTGCTTGAATCTTCTTGTTCATTGCTTATCTTCTTGTCTTTCTGCACTCTCCTTACATTCTATAACTATAATTGTGCTAGATGAACTTGTTCACATCTGCAGCTTTCGATACTAACTCTAGTATGAAAAATAGAAAGTTTGATCTGTCCTCTGAGCTCCAAATATGTACATACCACTGGCTTTTGGACATTTATATTGTGGGTGTGATGCTGTGGTACAGTACAGGACTGCAAACCATAGGTTGGCAGTTCAAAGCCACCAGCTGCTCTTTTGAAGCCCTGCACGGGGTTGCTATGAGTTGGAGCTGACTCGACAGCACTTAGTACCACAACAAGAGCATGTCAATAAATGACCATGTTAAAAATTATATTTTTAATGCTCACCATCCCCTTCTCTGACCAACAAACAGCTGGTCTGCAATCTTTTCCATCCCAGAAGTCATCCACCCACTTGCTATTAGCCATGTCTTGGTGAATATTTTCCTCCTCTATATCCAATCTAGAAGTAAATTATTTTAACACAACTCAAAAATCTATCCTGAACTCAATTACTTCCTTCCAGTTCTGTCCCTCCCATCTTAATCCAATTTACCATCACCACTACTATCAACCCTGACAATACTTTTCTGATCAATGTCCTTACTTCCTCCTCTTGTCCCATTACAAGCTACAAGTAAAGAGCCCTTTTGCAAATTTAAATTACATCAAGTCACTCAACATTTAGAAACCTACGGTGGCTACACATCACATTCAGAATAAAATCTAATCATTTCACTGCATCTTACAAGACCCTTCCTATCTCGTGGCTATAAACCACCTCCTCTCTTCCGTCCTGCCCACTCTGCTTCAAACATAGGCTGTCTTGCTATTGCTTCCATAGGTCTAACCCATTTCTAAGCTTCTATTATCTTTTCCTTCAGCCAGAGCGCTCTTCCCCCAAAGAAGATCTTGCCAAGGCACTCTCCTCTCTAGTCTAGATTCTGCACAAATGTTATCTCAACAAAAAGGCTCTAATTGACCTATCTAAAATCACACTAATCCAGCATGTCATTCTATCCCTTGCCTACTTATTTTCTTCTTAGTATTATCACTCTGAAGTTATAGTATTAATTTTCTTGTTTGTTTCAATATTTATTCTTTCTCTTCTTTATAATATTATAAGCTCTAAAATTACAAGGAATTTAATTTTTCTTCTTGTTTATGAATGAATATCCAATGCATAGATCAATGCTTGCCATATAGTTCAATAATTATTTACTGAATGAATTCATAAATCGAAAAAATTTATGTATACATGTGGAGTAAAATAACAATTTAAGGACACCAAGAAATTGCACAGAACTGGAAAATAGACCCATTTAACAATTGTTTTATTTCATTATTGAAAGCAAACTTCTATAGGTTTATGCATGTATGAACTGTAGATCAAACACATACTAAATTTTCTTATATATTTAAAGTCTTTATAGCAGATTATTCCCTAAAAAATTATAGATACAATAACTGTTTGCATTTTCTTTCATTTATAAGAATTAAAGCAATAAAAATTCAGTCACATAAGAGTTAATCTAGAAGCATGATAGTTTCTTATCAATACACTTATAATTACAAATAAACTAATATAGTTTAAAACAATATGATTAGATAAAGTTAATATACGTTACTTGATCAAATATAAGAGGGCTTCATCAAGTTCATGGAAATATTTCTTTATCTTTAAATCCATTTTTCCATGAACATTATGAAGCCCCATCATATTTGATGTGCAATCTAATGTACATATCATAAGTATTTCTTGTTATTGTTAAGTGCCATTGAGTCAGTTCTGACCCAGTATAGGATTTCTGAGGAGCAGCTGGTGAACTTGAACTGCTGATCTTGCAGTTCAAATTGACTTTGCGGTCCAGCGCTTTAACCCACAGCACTACACCAGGAGTATATGTTGTATAAAATCAATAATTAAGCTTTATTTAGGCTCCTAAGGGCTTTCAAGCAAAATTTTGACTCTGTAAATAGAATAGCATGAAATAGAATAGCATGACATATGAAGCTTCAACTCCATTAGTCATAATAATTCTTATTCTGAATACTTTGATAATATAAAATTTTAATAAAAGGTTTTATATGACTAATTAATGGCAATAAAGCAGGAAATGAGGCACGTCAACTTCATTTCAATCTGATCAATGAATTTGCAAGCAAATGTGAGGAAAAAAAGTCCAACCTACCTTCTGAAAGACTTGGTTTTGTTTTGTGCTTGGAAATAGCCTCGCAAGGGTGAAAACTCAATTGCTGTAAGACTGCTGGACAGATGATAGAGAAGTTAGAGCTGGTGATCTGGGTAGAATTTGAAAAGCCATGAAGGGAAAAGATATCTTCAGCAGATAAACACTAAAACAGAATAAACAAAGTAAACAAGTACGTGTTAGTATAATAAAACACCCAAGCAAAATTGATACAAAGATACACAGGGTATTGCGTCTTAATGCACAGCACTTGCTCTTTATACAAAAGTCCACTACCAAAATGTATGGGCATCCGAAACTGTAAAACAATGAGTCAGAAGAAGTCTTCAGTCTGTTGCCTGACCTATGGATCTGAGAGTTGCTAGATGACAACAGTGTGAGTTATTTCTTGAAATAAATCTCTCACATTGAATTCAGATCACCACTGGAATGTAAACCACAAGGCTAACATTTCAAACTTACCAACTGCTTCTCGGAAACTCTATACTGGGTTACTGAGTCAGAACCAACTCAGTGGCACTTAACAACAACATATATAGGAGGGTAAGTCAAAAAATATTGCTATAAATCATAGATACTTGTATTAAACAAAAATATCAAAATGTAAAGCTATTCTTTCTTGACATATGTTCCATCTAGATTTATACATTTCTAAAGGCAGCATTTCTACCCTTTCCTTGAAGAATTCTACTTGTTGTTGGGAGTCATCAGATCATAGCAACTGCCCATTTTAGTATTATCCTCACAATTGTTATGTTTAAGTCCATTGTTGCTGCCACTGTGTCAATCCATCGCATCAGGATCTTCCTCTTTTTCACTATCTACTGTACCAAGGATGGTATCCCTTTGTGGGCATTAGTCCATCTTGATAACATGCCCAAAGTACATGAGATAAAGTCTCAACATCCTTACTTCTAACAAACATTCTGACTAAACTTCTTCCAAGACAGATGTGTTTGTTCTTCTAGCAGTCCACAATACTTTCAATACTCTTCAACAATACCATAATGCAAAGGCATTATTCTCCAGTCTTCCTTATTCATTGTTCAGCTTTCACACAACAGTCTTCAAAAGTGAATCTTTGCTCTTTAACACTTTAAAGAGATATTGTGCAGTAGATTTGCCCAAGACAATTGTTGTTGTTAAGTGCCATCAAGTCATTTCTTATTCATAGCGACCTTGTATAGGGTTTCTGAAGAGTGGCTGGTGAGTTTGAACTGCCAATCCTGGGTTCAAACTGACCTTGTAGTTCTACTGCTTATCCTACAGAATCACACCAGGACTCCAACACGACGCACACTTTGATTTCTTGACTGTTGCTTCCAGGAGCATTGAACGTGAATCCAAGTAAAATGAAATCCTTGACAACTTCAATCGTTTCTCCATTTATCATGATGTTGTTTATTGATCAAGGTGTGAGGGGTTTTGTTCTTTTTATGTTGAGTTGTAATCCATACTAAAGGCTGTGGTCTTTGATATTCATCAGCAAGCCCTCAAGTCCTCTTTGCTTTCAGTAAGCAAGGTTGTGTCATCTGCATGTCTCAGCTTATTAATGAGCCTTCCTTCAATCCTGATGCCATGTTCTTCTTCATAGTCTAGTTTCTCAGATTACTAGCTTAGCATACAGATTGAATAAATATGGTGAAAGGATACAAACCTGATGTATACCTTGAAGGAAGATCCTCAATTAAATGGATTGACACAGTGGCTGCAATAATGGGCTCAAATATAGCAACGATTGTGACTTGGCAGTGCGTGCGTACATAGGGTTGCTATGAAAAAGAACTGACTCAAAGTACCTAATGGCAGCAATTGTGTCTACATTATAAAAAATCTGTTATTACTGTAACTTTTAAAATGTATCATTTTACTACTGTACACATTTTAACTATAAGCTATTTTCTACATTTGTTGTTCTTAAGGGCCATCCAATCAGTTCCAACTCATAGCAACCCTGTATAGGTTTCAAAGAAGCGACTGGTGAGCCTGCACTGCTGGCCTTGCAGTTCAAACTGACTTCGCAGTCCAGAGCATTAGCCCACAGAGCCACAGCAGGATAAAAGACATTAAGTTTGTTGCTACTGTCAAGAAATATAAAGTAAAACATTATTCCCTCAAATAGAAGTCTATGTTGAAAAAGTTATTTGTGAATATGAGCCAATACTTAAATCCCTTGTGTGGCACTGTGGGTTAACGCGCCAGACTGCAAAGCCATTTAAAATGCTAGGTTGGCAGTTCAAACTCACCAGCTGCTTCTAGGAAACCCTATACAGTTGGCTATGGGTGGAAACTGACTAGACAGCACTTAACAACAACCCTAAGACCTTAAAAGGATCCTGGTTTGGCACTATAGGATAATCATTGGATTGCTAATCACAAGGTCAGCAGTTCAAATCCATTAACCACTCCTCAGAAACCCTATACAGGGTCTCTATAAGCCGGAACCGACTTAGTGGCACATGATAACAACAACGAGAAGCCATTAAAGCCTGATGGTGCAGTGGATAAAGTAGCAGGCTTTTAACCAAAGGTCAGCAGTTCGAACCCACTAGTCACTCTGTGGGTGAAATATATAGCAGTTTGCTTCTATAAAGATTACAGTTTTGGAAACCCTACAAGGCAATTCTATCCTGTCCTATGTTTTTGTTAGGTGCCATCAAGTCAGTACTAACCCATAACGAACGACCTTATGCACAGCAGAACGAAACACTGCCTGATTCTGGGCCAACATCACTACTGTTGCCACACTTGAGTCCATCAATAGGACTTGGCATTCCTATAGAATCCCTATAAGTTGAAATCAACTACACAGCAGAAAATTTGTGTTTTGTTTTTGTTTTTGTTTGGTCTGAGACCTTAGCTATGAATGATATTGAGAACGTCAAAGTTTTAGAATTGAAAAAATAAAACACTGTTGCTGTCAAATTGATTCTGACTCATAATGACCCAACGTGTGCCAGAGTACGGACACAGGACGCAGAGTAGAACTGCACTCCATAATGTTTTCAATCGCTGATTTTTCAGAAGTAGATTGCCCAACCTTTCTTCTGTGGTGCCTCTGAGTAAAACCAAACTTCCAACTTTTCAGTGAACAATTCATCATTCTAATAATTTGCACTGCCAGGGACAATTTTGGAAACAGGGGACCATTAATGATTATAATAGTGAGGAAAAAAAATACACCTAGATAAATGTAATTGTCACAACTATAATCCAACTATCTTAAAGAAAATGAACACCTAGACCTGTTTTTTAAATGTCTAACCATGCACTTATGGATCTCTTCCAAATTTCTTGGCATATATGAATGAGTACCTCTAGTGCTGCATCCTTTTGTTGGAAGATTTCAATGTGTATTCCATCAGTTCCCAGGGGCCTATTCTTTCCACCTTGGACTTCTTCATTCAGTACAATGGGATTTTGATCATATACTAACTCTTAAAAGTGTTGAACATCGAACAGGTCCTTTTGGTACAGTGACTCTGTGTATGCCTTCAATCTTCTTTTTATGTTTTCTGCATCATTCAATATTTTGCCCATAGAATCTTTCAATATTGCAAATTAAGGCCTGAGATTTTTCTTCAGTTCTTTCAACTTTAAAAATGCTGCTTGTGTTCTTCCATTTTGGTTTTATAGCACCAGGGCTTTCTACATTTCATGATAGATAGTACTTGGCATTGACTTTTGAGCTGTCCTTTGAAATTTTCTGTCTGACTTTTTTACTTCCTCATGTCTTCATTTTCTTTAACATCTCTATGCTGGAGAGCAAGTTTCAGAGCTTCTTCTGACATCCATTTTGGTCTTTCTTCTTTCTTGTCTTCTTAATTACCTTATGCTTTCTCCATATATGATGTTCTTGATGTCATCCCACAACTCTTTGGTCTTTGGTCATTAGCATCTAATTCATCAAATGTGTTCTTGAGATGGTCTCTATATTCAGGTGGGATATGTTCAAGTTCATATTTTGGCTCTCGTGAATTTGGTTTCGCTCTCTTCAGCTTCAGCCTCAACTAGCATGTGAGAAATTGATGGTCTGTTCCAAAGTCTACTCCTGACCTTGTTTGGGGGTTGATATTGGAGCTTTTCCACCATGTCTTCCCATTTGTTATTATTTTGTTGGATGTGGTAAATTTTATTTCTGTGTATTCCATCTGGTATGGACATTGTGTATAGTCATCTTTTGTGTTGTTTAAAAAAGGCATTTTACAATTAAGAAGTCATTGCTGTTGCTGTTAGGTGCCATCGAGTCAGTACCAACTCAAAGAGACCTTAGGCACAGCAGAACGAAACACTGCCTGATCCTGGGCCAACCTCACAATTGTTGTCATGCTTGAGCCCACTGATGCTGCCACTTGGCCAATCCATTTCACTGGGGTCTTCCTTTTTTTCTCTGACTCTCCACCCTACCAAACATGATATCTTTCTCCAGTGACTGGTCCTTCCTGACAATATGTCCAAAGTATGAGAGATGAAGTTTGGCTATCCTGGCCTCCAAGGAGCACTCTGGCTGAACTTCTTCCAACACAGATCTGTTGGTTCTTTTGGCAGCCCATGGTACTTTCAATATTCTCCTCCAACACCATAATTCAAAAGCATCACTTATTCTATGGTCTTTCTTATTCACTGTCCAGCTTTTGCATGTATATGAGGTTATTGAAAATACCATGGCTTGGGTCAGGTGCACCTTAGTCCTCAAGCTGACATCTTTGCTCTTCAACACTTTTAAAAGGTCTTGTGCAGCAGATTTGCCAAATGCAATATGTCATCTCATTTCTTGACTGCTGCTTCCACGAGACTTGATAGTTGATCCAAGAAGAATGAAGTCCTTGACTTCAAGTCTTTAGTCTTGCAAAATTCTATCATGCGATCACCAGTATCATTTCTATCACCAACTACTGTTCCTTCCTATTTGTTTCCAAAGAGAAGTGACCAACAGAATGTGGAAATCAATGGACAATATCATTACTATCCCAGGCAAGATAAAGATACTATCACATGCTAAAGATCATTCAAAACTGGCTGCAACAGTAGAGTGACAGGGAACTGCCAGATGTTCCAGCTAGATTCAGATGAAGACATGGAACAAGGGATACCACTGCTGACATCAGATGGATCTTGGTTGAAAGCAAAGAATATTTCCTTGGC